CCTTCTAAATGCCCTGGCACCATCAAAGACATCTGCGTGGGCGGGACGGAATAAATTCATTTTTCGTCGCGGCTGCAGGGCGCTGCTGCGTGAACTTAGTGGGCTGCCGCCTTTTTCTTCCTTCCCTCTCCCTGCTCTCGCTCTCTGCGCCGTACCCCACCGCGCTCCCCATTTCTCTCTCTGTTTCTTCTTCTTCGCTGCCTCGCAGCCCACTGGCTCTGCTGCGGCTCTTTTAACCACCACCACCACTGTTTTTACGGATGGCAATGACGCTGCGGCACCGTGCGGTGTGCGCCCTGGCGCTCCTCGCGCTGCTCTGCGGCTGCTCGTTTGTCTGCGGGGCGAATGCTGAAGGAGCGGTTGAAGCGTCAGATAACCCTCCGCCTGATGTTGGGGGAAAAATATTTTTGCCGGTGGACGTGGCGTGTAAGTCGTCCGAGGGGAAGTTGCGTTGGCGGTTCCCTGGGGAAGAAGGCTGGAAAATCTGTGCGACCGATGCAAGCAAATCGAAAGATGACGTTGCATGGCTGTGCGACAGCGCTGCATGGCTGTACGGCTGTTCGAGCTGCACCCAGACGTGTGCTGCTGCCGAAATTGACGCTGTTGCATTCAGGATGAAAGTTGCGGCGTACGGGAAAAGCGAACTTTACAATAAGTCACTGACTGCAAAAAATGCTGGTGCTGACTTCTCCTTCTTCAACACAACAGGCGTTTGTGCGTCGGCGGCTGGAAATATAGCGGGCAATGGTTGCTCCGATGAAAAAACCACTGCCGTCGAAACACCAGCATCTGCGCCGTTCAGCCTACCGGAAGGACCTGAGGCACGGCGGGAAGACGAAGCAGTTGGAGCGCAAAGTGCGCAGAAGCCGCAGGAGGGAGAACAGCGCAGCGCAGGAAAAGTTGCGGCAGGTGCTGGGCCCGACCACGCCGCAGGCCTCACGGTGCAGGAGCCTGCAGAGTCTGCGCCTCAGTCGGCTGGCACTGCACCTGCAGCCGCAGCGGCCCCGGGGGCTGCCGGTGGGCGGCAGGCACACGGCGTTGAGAGTACACCGCAGACGGCTGAAAGTGTGGGCGCCAGCGGCGTTCCACCCAAACCGAGTGCACAGCCACAGGCGGGAGGTGAGTTGGCGGAAGGCCGCGTTGGCGGTGCTACGGGGCAAACGAATGCAGCGGAAGGCAGTGAAGAAGCAGAAGGCGGTGCGGAACGTCCAACGACGACTGAGCACGGCGGCGACTCGACAGACTCCGCGCAGTCCACTGCCGGCGCCACGCAGGCTTCGGCGCATGAAGCCGCCACCACCAGCGGCGCCACTCAGAAAGCCGTGACAAATGCTGCGGACCGCAGTGCCACCTCCACTCCGCTTGTGCGTGCATCTCCGCTGCTGCTGCTCATGGCTGCCCTTGCCTGTGCTGCTGGGTAGGTGGTAAGGGGCAACCGCGAACCCACACACCCTGGCGGGGACGACGCGTATTCTTTGTGTGCTCAGTTTGCTTGTCTTCCCTGTGGATCAATCCCTGACTCTCTCTCTCTCTTCTGTGCTCTGAGGGATATTTTCTTTTCTCATTTTTTTCTTTTTTTTGCTTCGCCTCTCCATGCACGTTCCCATGGGTAGCGCACTCTTTTTCCCACTCTGTTTGTCTGCTGCCTCCGTGAGGTGCAAACTTGATGCGTGGGCTCACGCAACTTGGGCGATGGTTCTTTTTCGTTTTGTATTTCTGCAGGTACTAAAATACACACACACACACTCTCACCGTCCTCTTGTGCTGCTGGACAAGTGAGGTAAAGAAACGAAACCTGCTGAAGTAATTTATTTTTCCTTTTCTTTTGGGGCCCTGTGGGGATTATTCACCTCCCTTCTCGTTTTTTTACTTTTGTTCTGCGGCCCCAGCGCCACGGCCGCCACCGTGTGGGGTCGCGCCTTGCCTAAATCCCTCTTCTGCCGGTGTGTCGACAATTCTCTGTTTTGCCTTTTTTCTTCTCTCATTTACTCCTCCCACACATACACGCAGAAGGAAAAGCGAGACCAAACGCTGCTTGTTGCCGCTGTGCGCTGTGAAGGCTCCGCAGTGGCACACACACACAACTGTCTCGGCCTGGGCGGATTCACCGCAAGGAGGGAGGAAGGAGTGAGCGGCAACGGCCCAGCATGCCCTGACATTTGTTTTCCTCTGCGGTGCTGCTGCTCTCTCTTTGCGTGCTGTTGATGTGCTGCTGCAACAGTGGCGCTGCAGCCGCTAATCAGGAGAATGCCAAGGATCCGCTTGCAGGGACGACGGATATTCCTGGTGCTGCATGGGAAGGCGTTGGGGCCGCTGCTCAATCAGTCAATTCCCTCCGAGTCCCCAGCCTTTTTGCGGTGGGGGACGATGTTTTTGCCGTTGCCGAGGCCCACTGCACGAAGCAAGACGGCGAGGCCGACTGCTTAACTGGCGTTGCGTTGAAGCACCTCAAGGAAACCGCGGAGGGTGCTGCGATGGAGATGGCGGCGGCGGACACAAGTCTCCTTTACACACAACTCGTGGAGGGAGGTGCCGCGGCTGTGAAGAAGGCAATGGACATCATGCGGCCAACAACAGTTGTGCGCGGCAAAGATGTCTACATGCTGCTGGGAAACTACAGCCGTGCATCGTCTGCAAGTCAAGTTTCCGGCAAAACTGGCTGGAATCTTTTCCTGGTGAAGGAAACTGTGAGTGGCGACGATGAAACGAAGAAAATCGAATGGAGTGAGACCCATGCGGTGCAGCCTGAATCCGTGGGAAGCCTTGCCTCCCTGACGCAGTTGGTCGGCGGCGGAGGCTCGGGCCATGTGCTGAAGGACTGCACGCTTGTGTTCCCCATGCAGGGAATCAACAAGGAGAAAAGAGCGCTATGTTGTCCATGCGCCTCAGGCAGTCAGACAATAAATGGACGCTTTCGCAGGAGACGACCGGTGCGGGCTGCAGAGACCCGTCCATCGTGGAGTGGGGGGGCGAAGAGAAACTCCTCGCGATGACTCTCTGTGAGCGAGGCTCCTACGACGTCTATCCGTCCTCCGGGGCCGTTACAGCTTGGTACATGACAGGCGAGCCAATTACCCGCGTGTGGGGCACCTCACTGAACCGTCAAGGAGGGGACGGCGTGCAGGGCGGCTTCCTCGCGGCAACCTCCGAGGAAAAAAAAGGTGATGCTCCTCACGATGCCGGTGTATTTGGCGGAAGAGGAGGAAGGCGGTGCAAAGGCTCGCCTTTGGTTGACCGACTATTCCCGCGTGCCCTGGCGTAACCGACCACCTCACCGTGGTGCCAGGGTCCAGTACTCTCGGTTACG